TGCAATGTGAACCGCACATGTCTATTTCCAACTAGTCCTCTTTAATATAAGTGAGGCCAATCTCTAAACAATAAAGAGAATGAAGAAACTGAATACTTTATTTCTGATCAAAAAATAAACAAATACATAAATGTCTGAAAACTAACATAAGTGAACAAAACTCCCACTAAAACAATGATATCATCAAGTGATATAACACCCATATGATCAATGTGCTCATGAAAGACCTTAGGTACTAAACCTTTTTGAGTGGATCTGCTATCATGGAGTTTGTTCCAATGTGTTCAATGGATATTTTTCCATTTTGCACTGTGTCTTTCACACTAGGAACTTTGTGTCAATATGTTTAGACTTAGACGAGTTCCTATTGTTGTTGGAATATAGAACTGCTGACTTATTGTCACAAAATAATTTATGTGGTCTTTCAACATTCTCAAAAATATGCAGCCCAATGACAAAATTCTGCAGCCATATTTCATGGTTTGATGCCTTTTTGCATGCTACAAACTTTTCTACCATAGCATGCTCCAAGATATAGATCCTCCAACTAAAGTGTAAATATAGTCTGAAGTGGATTTTCTACTATCTTGACATCCAACGAAATTAGAATCAGAATACCTGATGACCTCCAAATGATCTGATCTCGTATAAGTGAGCATGTAATCTTTTGTTCTTCGAAGATATCTCATAACCCTCTTGGTTGCTATCCTATGGTTCATATCAGGGTTGCTTGAGTATCTGCCTAACATCCCAACAATGTACGCAATATCTGGATGCGTACACACTTATGGACCAATTATTAACTTTCCTTTGGATCAATTAATAAATGCATGAATTACAATAACACATAATCATCTTGATATTTTAAATAAATTAATCTACATAAAAGAGGCCATTTTGACGATATTTTATTTCAATGAATTTACTAAAGTATCATACATAACTAGAATACAAATTTATTTATTCTAAAATATTTTTCTTAATAAAAAATTTAAAATTAAAATTTTAATTGAACCATAAAAACTGCAATCGAAGCAAATTTATTACAAACTAAGTAAAATAACATTTTTTTTTTTGCTTTCTACTCATGCTTGACAAAGATATGCGCAACATCACAGGATTGAAACAATTTTTTAAAAAAAAATTCCATAGGCAGAATCAAATTTCGCAAAAGCACCTTAATCATGGATTAAAGTTCTCAATATAAAATTTAAAAAATCAAAAATAGAGGCAAGAGACCAAGGAAAAGGGGAAAGAACCTTATCGCAATGCAAGTTATCATATAGTTTTATTTGAAATTTTACTCTTTAAATTATAAATCTTAAATTAATAGATTCTCAATAATTCAAACGATGAGGTGATGATATCAATTGTTAGAATCAAACCATAAATAAATATAAAAAACCTAACCAGAATTTAATTATACCAAACCAGCAAGAATAAAATAAATATTAGATTTGCGAAAGTGTACTTAAATCCATTGTTAGAGATTACATAGAATGTTGAGATCTTGAAGATTATCATTTGGTTGTAATATTCCAAGAAGATAGAATTTCCTTTAATATTAACTCTCTGACAGGATAATAGAAAATACAATATATCTATTTTTTGGGATCATAACTGATTTATATAGATGATTGAATCAATTATTGTATGTACGTATAACTCTGCCCTTTATCAAATTATAAATATAATTTTAATAATATCTACACTTTTATTTTCATAATACTTCTAATATTTTATGATTTTATAATATAATTGATCATTTAATTTATTTATATTTTATGACAATTATATTAATTACAAATATGTGCACATAATTATAAATTTTAATCCAACGCATAAATCTTCACTGTCAATCAAAGAGCTTATCCACAGTGCATAAACACGCATCAACCCTAAAACTTACAGAAGCATTGTATTGCACGCTGCTAAGAAATTAAATAATTAAACAAGAATCTCAAAAGCATTTGATCAATTTGTTACTTTTTGAAATTTTAGTGAAAAATCAGAATTTACTTAAATATTAATAACCATTTGTGTAATTTATCCTTTTTAATTTTACATATTTATTGTGTCACTAAAAACCTAACTATAATTAACTCTCAGTGATCAATCTAAATTAAATAAAAATGAAAATGACAAAGTATTTTGTTTTTCTATTTCAATGAAAAAGAGTGTACAAAACTTAAACCAAAGTAATCATTCATTTAGTTTATCCTTTAAATTTTAACTAAATCACTTTAAATCTAATACAATTCAATCTTAAACCCAAAACTCATAAACTCCAAATGACTCTAATTTATAATATCCACCTTCTTATCAGTGTGAAATCAAAATATACAGTTCACTTTATATTTCTCTACCTCTCCACTTTTAGGATCTAAAGATATTTTATTATAAAAAAAAATAATAGAAATTTAAAAGGTTAACTACATGAAAAATTACTTATGTTTATGTTTTGTCCACTTATGTTTATATTTTGTACACTTTTGGTCACTGATTTAAAAAAAACATAAGATATGATCACTTTTATTTTTATTTAATTAAGGTATGGTTACTTTCGTTTTTATTTAATTAAGATGTGGTCAGCCCAAGTTAACTATCGTTAACAATATTTAAATATTTTGATATAATCACATGTTTAGTCCCTGTTATTTACATATTCTCTCAATTTAGTCATACTTTTAATAAATTAAAATAATTTAATTCTATTTTACAACTCGGAGTTGACTTAGAATTTTTTTAAGTCAAATTTTTGAGTTTTTGTTTAAATTTAATTATAAATATTTATAATATTATGATATTATTTGATTTCAGTTTAAATGATCATTTATAACCATATACAATACATGTGTATTTCTTCATATATATATATATATTGTTTTCATATGTGGTATACATTTATGATACAAAGTCGAGAGACTCAACTAAAACTTGAAAACCAATCCACTAATTACTAAAATTTTCAAGTTATTCGAGTTGTATTTTATAACTTGGTCTGAACTTGAAATTTTTCCGAGTCGAGTCAGGTTTATGAAATTACAACTTGAAGTTAATTCGAGTCAAGTTTTCAAGAGTCGAGTCGAAAAAATCGGTTCTTCAAGTATAGTCAAATTTCGCTCACCCTAATATCACGTGTCACCATTTGGTTGGAGGATTAACTTTCATAAACCCGACTCGTCTCAAAAAAATATTTCAAGTCAAATCGAGTTGTAAAATACAACTCAAACTCGAAAATTTTAGTAATTAGTGGATTGATTTTGAAGTTTGAGTTGAGAAATGACCATCCAGCTCAGTTGGTAGAGCACAAGGTTCTTAACCTTGAGGTCGTGGGATCGAGTTCCACGGAGGGCATTTCATAATTCGGAGGTCTCTTACGGAAGCTGCTCTCAACCTGGTGTTGGAGTAGCCTACTATCTTACCTCCCCCTTACCCCATATATATATATGGGAAAAAGGGAGAGCCAGCCATTTTGAAGTTTGAGTTGAGCCTCACGACTTTGTATAAATATATACCACATATGAAAAAAAATGAAGAAATACACATATATTGCATGTAGGTATAAAAGATCATTTAAATTAGAATCAAATAATATCATAATATTATAAATGTTTATAATTAAATTTAAACAGAAACTCAAAAATTTGACTCGACTCGAAAGAATTTTAAGTCAACTTTGAGTTGTAAAATAGGACTCATTAACTCGAATAACTCGAACTTTTTGACTCGACTCAACTCAGCTCGATCAAAGGCTCAGCCCTACGTGGCATGACATGTGACATCATTCGATTAGAGGATTAAAATTTAGTTTAATTTATTAAAAGTATGACTAAATTGAGATAATATGTAAATAACATGGACCAAATATGTTGATTATATCAAAATATTTAACTGTTGTTAACGACAGTTAACTCAGGATGACAATATCTTAATTAAATAAAAACGAAAGTGACAACAACTTAATTAAATAAAAACAAAAGTGATCATAGCTTATTTTTTGAAATCAGTGACTAAAAGTGGATAAAACATAAAAGTAAGTGATTTTCTATGTAGTTAACCCAAATTTAAAAATTAAGATTTTTTGACAAAAGAAAAAGAAAATTTTGGAATCATTTTATCAATTTTAAAAAGAAAAATGTTTGATTATAAAGCAGTTAAGTATTTAAAGATAGAATAATCAAATTATGAATAAATTAAAAAGTTAATAAAAGATTTAAAAGTTTTAGATTTTAGATATTAGATTTTAAAATTTAAAATATAAATAAAATGAGCAATGAGAGTTGAATGTAAGAATTTGTAATTTATCCTAAAATTTAAAAGGTAAGTTATATTATTCACTGTTAAACTTTACTCTCTTTCTTGTATTATTTATTGTGCTTTTAATTTTTTTAATTTATTCAATAAACTTTTGAATTGTTCTTATTTTTATTATTATAAATTATTTTATTATTTTAATTATTATAAAATATTTTATTATTATTATAGGACATGTTTTTATATATTATTAATATAAAATAATTTAAAATAAATAATAAAATAATATTTTATTATTATTAAATTTATATCATCATTCTTTCTTATCATCATCGACTATCATTTAAGTTTAATTTTATATTTTACATTATTTTTATATTAAATAATAATAAAGATATCATGTCACATCAAAATAATAATAAAATAATTTAAAATGCCCAGGAATAATTTAAAATTTCAATGAATAAATTAAAAAAAATTAAAAGTATAATGAATAAAATAAAAAAGACAATAAAACTCGATGATAAATGATGTAATTTATCCAATTTTTAAAAATCTAAACGAATCATTTAACATCGGTCGTTTCAGTCTATTGGTTAAACTGGAATTGTTTTTTTTTCTCTCTCATCCCAATTACCTTCCAAGTATACGATAGTTTTGTTTCTAGTTAAAATTTTGCATACTATACTATTATCGTATGGTATTACAAGTAGATATTATTTATTAAAAAAATTTATTCAACTGCCGTTGAATGAAAAACTTACCAGACAAAGCAGACTACTACTAGATGTAGATTACGGGAAACACAGGAAACTGAAACTTTGATGTTCGACGATAAAAAGATCTCCTTAAAGATACATATTCATGGTTGATTGTCACGAGCAGTCCGTCTCCTACCACGGCGCCCCCAGTAAAACGAATCACTGTCTGAAGACTCATTTTCATCCTCGTCTCGGGTGGATCCAGTTTCCCCCTCATAGTTTTCTCCCCAATGTCTTGTAGATCTCCTAGTACTCGTTCTCGTCCTTGATGTGCCAGACCAGCTGGACCCTGGTCCAAACACTCGAACAAGGAAAAAGACGGTGAGCCAACTTCCATCATCAATGGGCAAAATGCTGTTATCACCATCTCCTTCCTCCCCAAATGAAGATTGCAGTGAGCTAACCAAGTCCCCGAGGTCTCTCTGCCGTTCCAACCTCCTCCAATTTTGCTGTCGCTCGGGGTCAGCCTCTGTTGGCCGCACAGTAGGGTGCTCAACCCTTGCATGCTTCCTTATGTCTTTATAAGCACCAGAAAAATTACATGTTTCAGAGGCACAGCTTCTAGGTTTGGAATTCATGATATGGCGAGCTCGCTCAACAACGATCCAATCTTTTATCTCACCACGACATAGAGGGCACACTAGTTTTGAAAGTTGAGAAATTGATGGAGCGGAGGGCCCTTCCTCGGTTCTTTCTTCCGGCAAATCAGTGACAGTTGATTCTGAAGTTGCAGCTGGTGATAAGTTTGTCATAACAAGTTGAGCTCCATCTCGTACAGGATTTGGTGATGTTGAGGCATGCACAAATGATTTGCGAAATTGATCAAAACAATTAGAGTGGCGATAACTTGTATCGCACATGTATGGACGGCAACCCTTCTCGTGGGAAGAACATACGAGGAGAATTGCATTGTGTGGATGCTCCATGCAGACAGGGCACCTGGCTTCTTCCCATTCCTTCAAATTTTCCTCAGTTTCTGAAGAGAGCTTTGCAGAAGATCGATGACTACAGCCGGAGTTGTATGGTAATGGCGACCTCTGATACCCATCAAAAGACACGGAACGATCTCTTCTCTCCTTCGGCATTTTGGAACCTATAATGTACAATATGACAAATGACCATATCTTGAGGACGAAAGAAACTGGATACTTGAAAGCACAAATGAAATGACATCGACATTAGTTTTTTTTCTCTCCGTACAAAGGATAAAATTAAATAGGAAATAAAATGAAGCAATGTGTATGAGTAAAAAAAAAACAGAAGCATGAGGATATAAAGTATAGAAATGGGTGAAAACAAAATTTCACAAATACATCATAGATGTCCAAGGAGAAAAGGAGGATATCATATATTTAAAACGAATCTGAACAAAACTGTATAAGCTCTGGAAATAGCAGATAGATGTCACACAAAACAGACTCTATGGGTCACGTGGCTGACATTCAACAGCTCGACAAAAAAGAAATAAGGACAAGCTCAATAAGCAGAGATGATTTTAGGAGTCCATTATAATTCCAGGCAATGTAGGGGTTAGTTCACAATTAGATTTGAGAACAATGAACATTCTCATGGCATCATCCTTACAAGGCTGTAATTTTAAGAACCGGAAAGCTAAGAAGAAAATCATGATAGTCTGCCAGTGGATTAGCAACAAAATTAAGCTAGCTAGTTTCAAGACAGAAGCATTGCAACTTCAGTTTGCTCCCAACATCAAAATCATTCTTTTCTATTGCAACGATAAATCAAACAATTGTTAATCTTCTATATAATGTGGGAAAGAGAAACTCTTTTTTTTATATAGGAGAAAAAGAAACTCTTAACCATGTACAAATTCTTTGGTTGATTCAAGAAAAAACCCTACATGATTTAAACAACTCAAAATAGCCTAAAGAACTACAATTCAAATGCCACCCCCGCCCCCCAACCCAAACAAACTTACTTTCGACAGCAGCATATATCACCACATCTCAAACTAACTCCGTGTCCTTGCAAAATCTGTTTCACGTTCATCAGGTCTTAAACCAAGTCCAGAAATATAGCTCTCAACTGAAATTTGCAACTCAAAATCAATCTGAGAAACTAAATGTGGTTTTCCATCATTTTGCTTCTTTGGGTTAGTCATGCTACTGTCTGAGACTACAACACGACCAAATTATACATAAACAAAGCCACTGCCAACATAAACCCCAAAAATGCCTACAAAGTATATCATTACATCTAATATATCGTTATTATTTCAAGCCAAACAAAATAAAACCGACATGTAGAATTTATCAATTCCCAACACTGAAACTAAACCATAATAATACCATCTCAAGCCAACAATAGCACTGAACATTGAAAGACTTAACTTCACATTTCACAGAATAACTATAAGCTCTTCAATTCGATCAACTTTCCACACCAAATTAATTCCACAAGAAAAAAAAGGAAATCAACACACGCATGGATAAAAAATCTCTGAGTTCCAATGAACGAATTAAATTAATTTCGAATACAACAAAAATATTAAGCTCAAAATCCCCAGCCTCTACCCAAAAAAAAGTCTTTTACAATCTAACGAACTGAAGCGAATCAGAAACTCTTAAGAAGCCGATCCAGGAAGAACAAGATAGGGTGCAAAAATCAGACCATTCGAAGCGAGGAATAAAACGAAAATTAATAGATTTCTGGAATTAAGTAATTACCAGCAACTTCGAGCTTCGACTTGGAGGCTTAGATCCTTTCAACAAAATTCAATCTTTTTGCGATTTTCAATGTACCGATGGATTATAAATTTGGTGGTTAGGGATTTGAAAGAAAAGAAAAATGGGAGGCAGATGCCTCTTTCTTGTTTGAGCTCTCGAAAGTGGAAAGGGAGAAATAAATATGTCGGCTCTTTGGACGAAATAAATAAGAGTAAATTACAACTTATCTCACTAAACTTTACTTTGTCTCTTATTTTGATTACTAAATTTTAAACGTTTTATTTTAATAACTAAATTTTATATATTAAACTCTTTTAATCCCTCTGATGTTAAATTTGTAAATTGCAACATAGATTAAACAAATAATTTTTAATATTAAAAATGTATAAAAATTCTTTTTTCCTTTCAGTTTCTTCTTTTTCTTTCCTCTTCACTTCTCTCTTCAACTTGAGTGAATTCAAGTCGCCAACTATTGTTCCGACCACCTTCGGTCGTCGTTCTAATCACTTCCAGTATTTTTTTGTTTGCTGATTTTCTTCTCTCTTTTTTCTGTTTTTTTTTATTCTTTTTCATCGCTAGAGGAATCAATGGTGATAACGTTAATAACAATAATCAGAACGATTCTAGGTTTAGACTTTGATTGATTAACCTATTTGAGTATTTCTTAGTTTTCCAAACACTGAATCTTTTCCAAAAATCACTAATTCTCGACACTCAGAATTGCTTTATAAATCCCATTGAGATCTTTCTTTAAAAATAATTCGATTCTATTAATATGTCAAGTTTTAGAGTTTTTGTTTCTCTCAAGGAAAATGACAAGAGAGATAGTTTTATCAAATTTATTGGGTTCGTTTCTTATGATTTCATCAATTAAAATTTGTGATTTGGATAAAGAAAAAAAAGGATATTTTGTTGTTTTATTGAGAGAAATGAGTAAAGAAACGTTATTTGTGCTTGTATAGCTCCTACTAAAAGCCTGGGACGTGATGGATTCTATGAAATAAGACTAGTTTTATGCCTGAGCGTTTCATTACTGATATCATTATTACTCAGGAAATTGTTCACACGATGGGAAATAAGACTGGTAAGAAGGATTGGATGACTTTGAAAATCAATCTTGAAAAGGCTTATGTTCGCCTTGATTAATCCTTCATCGATAACACTCTTTAGGATATTTGGATCCCTGACTCTTTGCGTAATCTTATCAACTAAGATTATTTGGAATGGTTCGATGTCCGAGTCTTTTCGTTCTTCATGAGGTATTAGGCAAGAACATCCTTTGTCTCCTTATCGTTTCGTTCTTTGCATGAAAAGATTTACCTAGAAAATTCAGGTTGAAGTGAATCGTGAAAGATGGTGGCCATTTCGTAATTCTAAGCTTAGCCCATCAATTTCTCACCTATTTTTGCAGACGATATGATTTTGTTTTCTGAGGTTTCACATGATCAATTGAGGACTCTTCAAGGTAATATTACGAATTTTTGCAGGGTTTCAGGTCTGAAAGTTAATATTGCTAAACTACCATCTACTTCTCTAAGAATGTCCCAAATGCCTTACGTGGCCATATCAGTTCTTCTTTTGGATTATCTGAGGTTTCTAATATTGGTAGGTATCTTGGTGTCCCTTTGCTCCATTCTCGTATTACCTCGGCCTCTTATGATTACTTAACCAAATGGTTCAACGTAAGTTAAGCGGGTGGAAAGTCATAACTCTTTCCCTTGCGGGGAGGATCACTCTTACCAAAGCTATCCTTTTAACAATATCGATGTATACGATGCAAATTGCTGTCTTTCCAAAGAAAATTTGTTTGGAATTGGAATGTTTGATTAGACGTTTTATTAGGGGCATCTCAGAAGATAATAAAGGAATTCACCTAGTTCGTTGGGATGTAATTTGTCAATCTAATACGCAAGGAGGTCTTGGATTCCATAGGATGACTCAACAAAACGAAGTTTTTCTTATGAAACTAGCTTTTAACTTGATTGCTGCTCGTGATGTATTGTGGGTTTGCTTTCTTTGAGCCAAATATAAATGTATAGATGATGTGCCTATTCAATAACAAATCAGAAGTTACTTTAGGCTTTGGAAAGGCTTAGTATTGTTTGGGGTGATGTCCATAGTAATATATGTTGGTCTGTGGGTAATGAGAAAACGTTGACTTTTGGTAAGATGCATAGGTGTCGCACACGGGTCCTCTTACTATTTATCTTTTATCGTTCCATGGTATTTCTTTATCGGAAACTTGCATGGCAGATATGATCGATCCGGATGGTAATTCGCATTGAGATCTCTTTTAAAATCTGCTCTCCTGAGATGTTCTATTGCATATATGTACTCTTAAAGGTCCGAAGACTTCAATGACAAGTGATTCTATTGGTTGGTTGGGCAGCAAGGATAAGAAATTACTGTCAAGTCTACTTTATAATCCGAATTGGGGCTTCGACTAAACCTGACAAATTTGATACGAACTTGATTACCCGAATCGATTTACCCAAACTGAATCGAAACCGACCCAAATTTTAGCCAAACTAAAAGTAACTCGAATTGAAAGTAACCCGAACCGAACCAACCCAAATTTTAGCCAAACTGAAAGTAACCCAAACCAAAATCAGCTGAACCGAAAATAACCTGAACTGAAAGTAACTCGAATTTAATTTACCCAAATCTGATTTGAACCGAACAATAACCTGATTTTAACCCGATAATTGAGTTAAAGTGTATAAAATTATTAAACTAACTTATTAAATTGGTTTTAAATTTTTTTTGAATCAAATTATGAATTATTATGAGTTCATTGCATCATATGTATCCAATCTATGACCCTCGTTTTAAATTAATCCATAAACTTTTAAACATTTCAATTTCATCCTCAAGCTTTGACTATTATTCTAAATTAGTCCTCAAACTTTTGAACATTTCATTTTCCTCCCCAAGCTATGATCTTTATCCTAAATTAGTCCCCAAAATTTTAGAATATTTCAATTTTCTCTTAAAATATTTGTATATACTAATCACATATTTGGATGAATTTGGGGATAAAATATAAAGATCTAAAGGTTAGAGACCAATTTAGAATGAGTTTCATAGTTTGAGGATGAAATTCGAATGTTCAAAAGTTTAAGGACTAAATTAGAATGAGAGTCATAGTTTAAGGATGAAATTGAAATATTAAAAATTTTAAAGACTAATTTGAAATGAGAGTCATAGTTTTGGGAAATATGATGCAATTAACTCATTAATAATTGAATTTAAATGAAATCGAATAGAAATCATAAGATTTAAAAAAAATACATGTTTTTTTTACAAAAATACATCAATAATTCTACATAAACTTGATTTGACTTGTACCCAACTCAACTTCAATCGACCCAAAGATCCAAAGTTGACTCAAACCGAAAATAATTGATCGGATATTGACCCGACTAAAAAATCAATTGATCTGACCTAAAATCAACTGATCCGATATTGATTCGACTCGATACCCAAATTGATTCGACTTACTATAGACCTGAATAAAACAAAAACAAAAAATAACATGACCTGGCCTGAACCCGACTCGACTTACTATAAACCCGAATAAAATTGAAACCCGAAATGATTCAATCCAACCCGAAAAAATTCTAAACCCGAAATGATTCGAACCGAAAAAAATCTAAATGAGCGTAGATGTAGGGTGTGGTCGATCATTTCAAAGCTACATTTGCTTCCAAAAATATGTATCTTTGCTTGATGTTTAGCTCTTAATGCCTTACTTATGGCTAGTCGTCTCAAAGATGCTGGGTTGACTAATGGTATTTGCCCAATGTGTTCTTCTGCCGACAAAACAACGTTGCATGTTGTTCGCTGTTGTTCTCGAGCTTAAGAGACTCTACATCTTGCCGACATTCCTACTAATGTTGCTCTTAGCATGGTGGTTGACTCTCTAGTTTTGTTGGAGGATTCGTTATCCATTCTTAGGCGTGATGATTTTGCTATCTTATTGGTTTATTTTGTGGAATGTTTGGAATAATCGTAATTCTTTTGTTCATAATAATAAGTTGCAGTCACCTTGTATTCTGGTTACGAATGCAAATATCCTTCATAAAGAGTATTTGAGCTCAATTGTTAAGGAGAAGATGGATCAACGTGCACATGGGAGGAAGACTAACAGTGTTATTTTGAGAGACACTGTGGATAGGTGACGACCTCCAGTGGTGGGGGTAATTAAATTAAATATGGATGGTGAGTTTGATGATGCATGTCGCATTGCTGCAGTTGGTGTTATTGTGCGGTATAAGAAAGGTCATGTTCTTAGAGGCATTGCTAAACCATCTATAGGATGTTTCAAAGCCAGGTTTATGGAGTATCTTGCTCTTTTTGCTAGGCTTCAACTTGCTTGTGATAGAGGGTAGACACGTTCATTTTGAAATGGATTCATTGATGCTTGTTCAAAAGATTACAAGGCTTATTGATGATATTTCTAGCCTTGATCTTTTTGTGAAGCAAGCTCGTGCAATCTTTCGCTCTAATCCTATGTTTCATAATACCTTTGCTCACTGGGCTTGTAATACTGTTGCTCACAAATTAGTTAATTGGGCTATTATAACTAGTGAATCTTTGTTTTTTAACTCGATTTGTCCTGAGATTATTTCGAGTAACCTAATGGTTGATGTAATTGATTATTAATATATGGCATTTGGGCACTCTTTTCCCCTTGTTAGATTTAGAAAGGGTTTTTAATGAGGTCCATACATAGTTACCTTCAAAAAAATATTCGACTGATTTATAGGATCTAATTTGGAAACAAACCTATCATTATTATGCCATTCAACGGATTAGGCTCTTTATGTGTCTTGCTTGTTGGGGGAAACTCATTACTAATGATGAGAGGTCACGTAGACAGTTCATCACAGATTCTCGTTGTCTAATTTTCGTAAATATAACAAAAAATGTTGATTACGTTTTTCGGTATTGTGTTTTTTTCCATTTGGATTGTCCTTGTTAAAAAAGATAAACTTTCGGAGTTCTTGACTATGAATTTTCGAGAGTGGATTGGGGATCACAAGTATATAAGATTTTACAGAAAACCAGTTAGATTAAGACCTTTTATTCGGAGCTATTATATAACATGGTCTTTGAAAATGAAGATGTGCAAAATGACTCTCTT